TGAAGGGCATCCTTCTCATAGTTATACGATACGTTGCGCTGCATCAACGAGATTTGCTAATGCTGATTCCAGAAATGTAAATAAGGCCGTAGTGCGCAGTACCATTCGAAGACTTAAAGCCACGGGTCAGGATCAGGTGACCATAGAAGACCTTTCCTCCACTAATACTTCCAGGAATGCGATCACTCCTGACTCGAGATTGCGCGCCGTTAAGACCTCTGGCCTACTACTGATACAGCGATGGATGTTAGTTTCATCAGCTGGTCCGCCACCGCGGGATGGCTTGGCCTAACGTGTGAGATCAGCAGTTAGGTTGATTGCCGTATCAACCGATGGAACGGCTGGCATATCCGGAAAACTCGTTTGGACGTGGCTCTCCCCCGAGCAAGCCTCCTTCACTGCTAGAAAGGAAGGGGTTTCGATTTCGGTCTTGTCGACGGTTTCTTTGCGTTTTTTCTTCACTGTCGTTCCACCTCCCATCTCTACACTCAATTTCAGGCGCCATAATGCCCAAACACGAGCCTGACTTTTGCCTTTAAAGGAGGAATTCACGATTAGAATGAAGGTCGAAGAAAGGGAAACTGACCTAGTTGAGGGACCCACGGACCTCCTGAGGGTGCGAACTGACGCGCAATTCGCATGGAAAAATTTGACCTCGGCGACCTATCATGCCTCAAAGCTGGCGGGTCCGGCGATCTCCGCCCACCGATCATCTGATCACTCGCCGTAGTTCAATACGTGGCGAGTGATTAGATAGCTGAGAGAGCGTAGTGTTGAAGAGGGCACAGCGATGAGAGTCGCATCAATGCTCGAATCAACGGGCAAGGAAGGGGTCCCATTTCTCGGGTTCTGGGCCGTTTCTCATGGTTCTTCCTTCTTTTCGTGTACCACTCACCATCCCTAGGTTAATTTGAAATGGGTTGCTTTTTCATCGTGAATTCGTCCTTTAAAGGGTCAGGATCCTCTCTGCAGCCGGATTCGGAGAATTGGTCGTCACCCTAGCCAATTCAGACTTTGCGATCTTTCATGGCATTCGACACTGTTCAGTTGGTGGGATTCCGAAGAACATTATCGCTGAAATAAAACAAATTCGCTAGATCAATGGGTCTAAAGAGTGCTGGGACAAGAGCTCTGCTTGCATGGCACTGGTGCCTTTCCCGGTGAAATTTCATCAATTTGCGGATTCATCAAGTGTAATAATCCCATCTGAAAAATATAGAGGGACAGTGGATTTATATTTCTTTTGCCCCCCCCCCCACCCCCTCCCACCCGGTAGTTTTGCTTCAACAATGGCATCATTTTCAGGGAAATGCCGTTTCAAGTTGATCATTCAAAATCACCAGAAAATTGCTGAGTTTCCTGTAGTGACTCCCCAGTTTTCGTCCATTGAGTGCACTTTTGCCAATCCACATAATATTGTCATCGTATTTGGTGGAGAGCCGAGAAAGCCGGGAGAAGAAAATGCGAATCAACCACCTACGAACATAAGGTCTAAACCGGTGTTGAAGTTCCGTTCCTATGTGATACTATAACTGCGATAATACCATACGCTTTGATATATGAATATCTTACTGTGCATACGTATTACCTGTAAGAGGTGTTGATGTTACAAGTTAGCATACTACATGTTACAGAAGGCGTAAAGTATGTATTCAAAGGAAATGGCGATTCTGGCAGTTGTCGCCAGATAAAACTGATAGATAAAAGTCAGAAACCTCCTTAAGACAACCTAAGAACTTGAGCCGTGATCGTCTCTTTCTTTATTCGTTAGTATGCATGCATGCGGAAGTAGTGTGTAGTGGCAAGCGGCACCGTTACCACGCTCACGGTCCGGGGATCGAATTCTGAGCACCTGTGCTTCATATCGGTTTTTTCGGAGATCAAGCTCACACTCAGTTTGGCGAAATCCTGACTGGACAGGGACTCCGCGATGCGTGAGCAAATGCCAGTCTTGCAGGACTTCCTCTCTTTCGCCTAATACATATTAGGTTGTCGGAAAAGTCTTTGGCCATTTGTCGATTTTTTTCTAATTCACTTTTCTTCTTTAGCACAGTGAGCAATTTACAAATATATGCCCCACCATAATCGTCAACATATTGCCTTTTAGCAGGTAACTCGTGGATGCGTTTGTCTGGAAATACTGAGCTTTTGAAGCAAAAACCTTGAAGAAGTCCTCTTCGAATAGGTCCGGATCATTGAGCTCTCCCTCTTTTGGTTGATTTGACAGCAACGGAAGCAGATGGAGTCTGTTAGTGCCGGGTTTGCTGAACGCAACAGGTGGGACAGAACGTCCCATAACGGGCTTGGAGACTTTTGCTGAACCTTCTTCCAAATTCGTTGACGAGCGTTGCCTGGATAAAGTAAACTTTTCCATGTTTTAAAGCATAGTGCCGGCGAACCCATCCATTTGCCCATATTATGGTTCAACAATAGCAGTGCAGTTCTTTGGTAGGAGCTGTCAGTGAACGAATCGCTTGAAGCTTCAAGAATTCTGGAAGTTACCTCCCAGTTAGTGCTGGAGTCGGCGCTAGAATCTCTGCTTCTAAGCGTATGAGCGAGTGACTCGCTGTGGTTCACTTGAGGAACCCACTCCCAGCTACCACCAACAAAGTAGTCGGGTCAAACAAGATACAGACGGTAAATCAAAATGTTCATGCAAAATCTGAAGGCTTCTGAGGGCGGTTGTCACCCAGATCACGAAATCCTTTTGCCATAATTTCTCTTCTTTTTGAGGAGCTATTGAGGAATGGCTATTGTGTTCTGATAACTGTGGAAAAGCTGTGTCAGTTACCGTGCATTGCACCAGAGACTGTTTCCAAACAGCTCCAGAAGACACTCGTCATTCAGTGGAACAGCCAACCGAATTTGTGCATTTTTCTCGAGTTTCTGGACTTCGGCAACCAAACGTCCACCATGAAAGGCACTCTGGGGTTCCATAACAAGACATGCTGGTTGCCTCCATTAACGGGTTCTTTACTTTTACAAACAGGAGCAGCCAAACATGCTTTCAGTCAAGGACGATTTTCTCAGCCATAATCGCTGTGAGAAACCACGACAGAAATGCTATGAAGAGATCATTGACTAGGGTTTACATACGTTTTACAATAAATGTTCAAAAATTATCCCTGAAGATTTCTACAACATGCAGATCGAAATGGCCAAAGACTTTCCCGACAACCTAATACATTTACCTGCAAGATGGAGGTGTCGTACAATGTTGTTTAGTTGTGTATCACACTATCTGCTGCTGGCCCTGCTACTACTTTCCTAAGTAACGGTGGATCCACCTTGAAATTCTCATTCGAAATTCTCTCAGTCCGACAATCACATCACTGTTTAATCCCTAGGGAAAGAATAAAGTTTATAGGTTGAATGGATCTTTCATACTGTCAACTCTCGACCTTTCCCCATTTCCGCGTAATCCGTAAAGGTGCTCATATCTCAAAAAGATGAAGCCAGAACTTTGCAGAATACAATTTTCCAGATACATTCGCTTGAATCAGAAAGTGCAGAAAGCTTTCGCAGGAGAATTCCCTCTGCTGGCACGTGACCTTAGAAGTAAGTGATACTCGTGTTTCGTGTAACATTATCGCTACAAAATTAAGTTGCTACTGGTCATTTGTTAAGAATTCACATGCATTGTAAAAAATTTTATGCCTGGGGAATATCCGTGGCGCGCGGCTCAGTAGCAGCGAGGCGTTGTCTTCTGAATATGATGTAGCGGGTGGGACGCGAACATACTTGGTGGGGACCAGAAAGTGATAACAGCTGATAGGGGCTGATAAGAAGCGTTGGAACGAAAATGTCACGAAATTCACAGCGCAAGGCCCAGCAGCATTGAGGTTTTTGCAGATATGATATAGGGGGTGGGACGGGAACATATTTGATGGGGACCAGAAAGTGATAACAGCTGATAGGGGCTGATAAGGAGCGTTAGAAGGCGAATGTCACTGAAGTTCTTATCCAGATGTGGGATAAAAGTTTATCTCTTTTCTTCGCGATGTCGTCGATCCATCTGCCTGAGCTATTAAATGGTCGGTGTCGGTGGAAATACGATGAGTATTAATATTTCTATCCCATCATATTCACCAACTTATTCGACCGCTAAACCATCCCAATATCCAAAGCATGGTAGATGTTTACGCTGAGAGCTGATAATAAGCAGCCCAAGTAATTGTATTAGTTATCCAACGCTCATTCGGCTGCTGGGCGGAAGTGGTGTAGTGGCAAGTGGCACGCTTACCACGCGAGCGGTCCGGGGATCAAATCCTGGGTCGTGAGTCGCCCGGGCCAACCAAGCCTTCCATCCCTCCGGGGTCGGTTAATTGGTTACCAGGGAAGTTGTGTTTGTCGGGTAGCGAACGTAGGACGCAAACAGCAATGGG